ATTATGTGGCTGTGCTCCAACTTGGGGGCTCCGGTTAACAACGGCCCGATGCATGCCGGCTCGGCGCGATCGGAACGTTTGGAACCCTTGCCACTGCACTTCTACCAGCAACGATGATTCACGCATGAATGCTTGAATAGCCTCGAGCATATCCTCGAGACCAGAAAACCCTACGCTCCACTTCGGCACTTGACGTCTGATCTGCTTGGGCAGCTGGTATAGCCTTCAATCCACTGGTCCAACTCCGAGTCATAACCACTGCAATCCAGGCGCAACACTGCCAGCAGAACCCCTGCTTGGTCCGCGGGAAAACGGAACGGCTCTGAACTACCCATTTCTACTACTCTGTCTCACGCCAAAATAATGCATCGATGAAATGCCATCGTCTCATGTGCTTGCCGTCAAAGGTGGCTGTAGATGGTGATATGCGGCTGTTCAGAAGATTATTCAAGTTTGTCTCGGCGCGCAGGATCTGGCGAATTATCTGGGCGACACATCAGGAGGCGGCGACTCTCTACCAGGAGTCGAGACGATTTGCAAGATTGGCTCCAGATACCCTTCCATTTCCCTCTGTCTGGTCTGCATCTCTATTAATATATAATCTATGCCTACGTGCGCCACTGGGCGATGACACAGTGCAAATCAAGATCTATTCGAGTAATGATCGTCGTCTCTACTGCTGCGATGATCATTTGTTAACGTTCACCACAAAACTGACACGCAGCACTCTCTCGATAGCTCCCAGGCCCCGGCGGCCCCCACTCTCTTTTGACCACTGGTCGTTTGCGCGCACACCCCATGCACCATGCCGAAGCTCAACACCACGAGCGACGATTCTTCGCCACTCATTGCCTACTATCCCCCAGGCGCCTGGCACCAGAACTACTCAAATGAGTAAGTCCACCTTCCGAGCAGCGATCTCGTCATTGGCGCTAGGCTGACGATATCTAGCGCGTTCAATGGTGGCTATACCTCAACTTGGACCCAGAATGCAACGGCCACGTTTCAATTTTCGGGGACTTGGGTTGCTGTAAAGGGATCGAGGAATCCCTCTCATGGCGCTTACAACATCACATTGGACGGCTACTCCTACGCATTCAATGGCTCGGCACCAGTTACTTTCCAGACTGACGTCTTCAACTCCCGCTTTCACCCCATCGAAAATGGTCATCACACTCTGGTGATTACGAACATCGGCCGGAAAACGCTTGACATCGACTCAGTGCGATCAGAATTACTTCTGACATCCACTACCAAACTCAACTCCCCTGCCAGATAACCTGGTCCTGCGATGTTGGGGGGCTAAATACTTCGGATGTGTCATTACAGAAATCCGTGGTGGACGACACAGACGACGCGTTCACTTATTTCCCTCAGGGGTCCTGGGATGTGGATCACTCAGATCTCGGAAATTTTCCAGAAAACACGGGACAGTGCGTTGCATGCGTTTTCGCTGTGTTTGCCATTCTTATGACCACCAGTTCGACATCTCAAGTGGATGCCGCTGTAAACTACACATTTTCCGTGCGCACGCCGTTCCTTTTCTAATTGACGTTATTTTGATGGTTGCAACATACTTAGGGTATTTCAACTTTTTGGATCTTGAAGCAATCGTTAACCGAATCGTAGGCGATGCTGTCGCGATATATGGTACTACCGGACCTCAGAACTCACGTTACAGTGTTCTCCCGCCTAACAGGCCACGGCAAGAGTTTACCGCTACTCGGGATGTTTCTTCGTCTCAAGTCCTGCTCTACTTTGGCAATGGCTTTGGGCCGGGCAACCACACTATTGGTTTAGCCAACCAAAGTCCCGGGCTTTTCCAGATCGACTTCGCCGTTGTTCATGCAGTGAGCTCTCCATCGTCGAGTCCATCGTCAAGGTAATTCAAAATCCCCTTTATTCAACCAGATCTCACTTAACACGAATAGCAGTGCACCTGTGCATCAAGCGTCCCCGTATCTTCCGAGCGACCCGGTCCTTCCTTCTGATCGTGCAAAGCTTCCGTAGGCTACAATCCTTTAGTATCATGTCACCTCTTACTCGTTGTAGAGCTGGCGCTATCGTCGCCATCACCTTCGCCGCCTTCATTTTCTTTTTTCTGCTGGCGGCTCTTTGGGTATGGATCTCCTAGTCTCAGGATAAGTATCTTTTCTTGCATTCTCATTCATGTTTAGTTTATTCTGCGACGAAACAAAACCCTCTGGATGCGTCTCCAGCGAGGGTACATGGTTCAATCTCAATTCGACAGTTCAACGCCTCCGAACGGCATCACTCCGCTGCCCTATTCCACGCCACCGCATGCAGGAACCAGACATGCACCCGCCAACGACGCCGTATCCATCGAGGCGGGTTCTCTGAACAGGGCTGTTACGATGCAGTCCGCCTCTACCCTCGTCGCTGATCACGGCTCACTCATGACGCAAGTTGGCGACTATGACTGGTGGTTCTCATTAAAAGTTAGTCCAACTGCAGTCGTCATAAGAATATCCACTCACCAATTCGCAGCCAATGCGACTAGCCTCGCGGTGGGGATCAAGCACCCCGGGATCTCAGACCACCTTGTCGGGCTCCCCGTCTGTTCGACATGTGCAAGAATCAGAATATTATGATCCAGAGGCCGCGGGGGTAGGGGGCCTGGAGGAGATTTCCGAGGATCGTGTTGACGATCTCCTGCGACATCCAATACGGCGAAATGCCTCTCCACATACCGATGACAGTCGGCCTCCTGCAATTTGATTCTTGTTGGACATTATTGTATAGATTTACAAAGGAATCGAGGTGAACAACTAGTCTTACTCAAACAGGATGAACCTCGGAGTACATCGGAAACGATAAAGAATCAAGAAAAGATGGGAGGGGCAAAAGATTAATGGCCATCGTGGGGGTCGAACCCAAGACCTTCGCGTTATTAGCACGACGCTCTAACCAACTGAGCTAGACGGCCGATGAAAGAGTTGGATATCTTGGGTTCCTGACCCGTCGGACAGACTTAAATCAATAAACTCGAGGTTAAGAAATTTTGAGGTGTTTTGTTGTAGAATAGAACCCTTGATACTGGCTACACATCCCCACAAAGTTTACATAAATTAAATGATATTAGAGATATAGATGTCGACGAAATAAAGGTGAAAAACCCAGTCAGAAGAACAGCCAGGCGATGATATGGTACACGACAGCCGAAACACACAGCCTTCTACGTCCGGCCCAGAAGCCAAGCCTCAAGCCGAAGCGCGTACACCCTCGGGGTCGGTGTCTTGCTGGGTCGTTGACAGCCGCGTGCCGTGGCATTAGGAGGTCAGACCATCACGCTGCGGCTGTTCTGGTGGATGGGTGGGGTGGAGTGTGGATGAGAGAGATCTTGTCGTCGTCATCTCCGTGCATTGGCAAGGCAGGTGCCCGGGCGGGGATGCTGGGGTGGCAAGGTATCGGGCAGACTTGAGGAGTAGATAGTCCAGTGCCGGATCCAGGCCTATACAGCCCCGCGAAAGACACGGCTTCTTGCATGCTTGCTCGATGTTGAGGCTTGACGTGAGGAATTCTTCTTTGTGAGAGATGGGCAGATGCTGAAGATGGAGAAAAGAGGGGATAAGAGGCACAGGAAGGCATGACCGGGAGTCGAGCGGTTATGTGGAAGGGGGTGTGATTGAAAGACAGAGGAAGGCTATGCGAGAGGAGAAGCAGTTGACCTGTGACCAAGGCAGGAAGGGCAGATGAGGGAAAACTTAGACGAGCACCCGCGCGGGAAGGGGTGGCGCTTCGGGATGGACAAACTTGATGACCAAAGCAGTACAGTAAAAAGCAGTACAGTATCATTGCGAAAACAGATCGAGAGCGGATTCAGGGCAAGACGAAAGCAGATTGAGAGCAGGACGAAAGCGTATTGGATGGAGCACGACGAAAGCGGATCGAAACCATCGAGAGGCGCGGCCGGGACCTAGTGCCGAGGCCACGGCGGACAGCGATCAACGCTGGGGTATATGTTCGCCGCGCACTATTGCCGGACCAGTGAACACTGAGAGAACAGGCGTCAGCTGCTGTCGGATACAGCGGGGAAACGGGAAACTTACTTGGAGGAGTCCAGCTCCGCACCGGCAAGCCGGAAACCTAAACCGTCGCCTGCTGGGACGACAATGAAGTTAACATAAGTGGGCTGGAGATGACGGAAAGAACACACATTTGCTTGGGAGTAGGGAAGAAAGTTGAATCTGCCTGATCGAACGAGGACACAGTAAGAGCATATCGAAAACATCGAAACCATCGAGAGGCGCGGCCGGGACCTGATGCCGAGGCCACGGCGGACAGCTATCAACGCTGGGGTATACGTTCGCCGTGCACTACTGCCGGACCGTGAACACTGAGGGGTCATGCGTCAGCCGCTGTCGAGTACGATGGGGAGACGGGAGACGTACTTGCAGGAGACCAGCTCCGCGCCGGCAAGCCGGAGACCTAAACCGTCGCCTGCGGGGGAGAAAAAGTCAGAGTGGGCTATGGACGACGAGAAGAACTTAGAACATACATTTGCTCGGGAGTAGGGAAGGACCCGCCTGACCACGCTGACGAACGTCAAGTCGGCCCTGGAGGAGAGGTGAGCGTGAGCGACAAGCTTCAGGACGAAAAGAGACTACTCACTATGCCTGTCATGGTGGTTGGTGGAAGAGAGATGAGGAAACGGTGATGGGTGCATTCTGAGCTTGGATGTCAGCCCCTTGTCAGCCACCGATCGGACGTGGACTCGTGAAATCGTACTTCGTGACGGCTTACTCAACGCCATGCCAATTGAACGGCCGATTATTGAGTGTGATCAATCGGATTCCGTGGTGGGCGGAACTACCTGGAGGCATCAAAGGCTGTCTGGTTAAAAGGCTCCCAGGTTGGTGGGGAAGGGGGGGGGGGGGGGGGCGCGGTGCCACGGAGAAAGAGCAAGAGAGAGAGAGAGGGAGAGAGAAAGAGAGAAATGATAGAAGGCAGAGAGCCTATAAGCGCCGGAGGAAAAAGAGTGCCTCCTAGCCGGATTGAACGGCTGACCACTGCATTACACAAGTAGGGAGTCCCGTACGAGTGCAGCGTTCTACCACTGAACTAAAGAGGCGTTGCAGAGAGCCCCAGAAATATGATTCCAATCGCCGAGGCCTACTGCCCGAAAAAAATGCAATAACTGGCTCAACAAACACCCTCAAACCCGGTTATTCCGTCTCAAATAAACGATGAAGCTCACGAGCAACCATGAGCTTCATCAGAATTCGCTCCTTCAGAGTATCAGATGACTTGACTTTTAAGCCTGGTAACTGATGACAATGACTATGACTCGGCACATCCCCGGTGAAGCTGTGGCCGTATCCTATTGAGTACGACTCAGCAGGTACTGTTCTTGAATGGTTCATCTGTTGAGACGCCAGGCTGATGATGGACGGCGCGATTTGTGGTTGACCAGACGAAACTGAAAAAGAGTCTGTTAACGGGGCCCCTGCGATTCAAAACTAACACAACATGGGGAAGATAGGATGGTTGCTAAAATACTTCCTGACCGAGGGGAATGTCTCTCTATTCCCCACGTCACCGTTGACCACTTAAACACGAGTGCCATACACGTCCTTGGGCGTAACACCAGACTGGCCGCGGCGGATGTTCGCCTGCGCCCACCTACGCATACTGTCAGGACTGTGTCTAAAAAGTCGTTGAAATACGCGCACTTCTTGATCCGGATGGACTCGATCTGAATGAAGCCAGAGGTGTCCGTCGGCTCGAACCCGCCCATCTCGTCCATCGAGCTCTGCCGCTCATCATACAGCCCCTCGGAGCTCTCCCGCCCCTCGACGACGACGTTGCCCTTGTAGAGCTTCAGCCGCACAAGGCCGTTCACTGTGCGCTGGCTGGCGGGGATCGCGCTGACGATGAACTCGCGCTCGGGCGTGAAGAAGTGCCCGTTATAGAGCATGCGGCTGAGCTCGATCGTGACGAACTGGTCGCGCAGTGCGCGCACGTTGCGGTCGAGCGTGAGGCCCTCGAGGTCGACGTGCGCGGCGCGCAAGATGGACGCGCCGGGCGACTCGTAACACCCCCGCGACTTCACGCCGATGAAGCGGTTCTCGACGATGTCGATCCGCCCGATGCCATGTGTGCGTCCCAGGGCGTTGAGCGCGAGGAAGATGTCCACGGCGTCCGTGTAGGTCTTGCCCGTGGCGGGGACAGTCACCTTGGTGGGGAGGCCAGCGGTGAACTCGATGGTTATCCGCTCTGGCGTCTCGGGGGCCTCTTCTGGGGCAGTGGTCAATTTCCACATGTCGGTCGGCGGCGTGACATTCGGGTCTTCCAGAATGCCGGCCTCGTAAGAGATGTGGAAAAGGTTCTCGTCAGTCGACCATGGCTTAGACGCGGTCTGAACGACGGGGATCTGGCTCTTGGCGGCATATTCCAGGAGGGCCTGACGCCCAGGGAAACGGTTGTAGAATTCTGATCGGGTGTTAAGGCGATGTACACGCCCAGATGAGATTTCTCGTACCAGGCAAACGCCACGGAGCGATGACTTTGATGTCGGGTTTGAGACCATAGAATGCCAGCTCGAAGCGGACTTGGTCATTGCCCTTGCCTGTGCAGCCGTGCGATACGTAGCTATCGATGCATCGGTCAAATGGAGCAGTAATAGAAACGAGGGCTTACTTGCATCCTTCCCGGTCGGCAACAGCGATCATACCGCGAGCGATGACGGGGCGAGCGAGAGATGTCCCGAGGAGGTACACGTTCTGATTCTGTTAGATTATGTCGGTGAGATGTAGTGAAAGCGCCGACCTCATAGATACAGTTGGCCTGCACGGCGGGGTAGATGAGTTCAGTGACGAACTCGCGCTTCAGGTCCTGGAAGCCCATAAAACAATGAAGAAACAAAAAGAATACAGGACAAACCTCCAGGAAGAACTTCTTGGCGCCAACCTTGAGGGCCTTCTTCTCAGCCGCGACAAAGTCCTACGAAGATCTCAGCGGCTGAATTATTCTGAGCGAAATCATATCAAACCTCCTCCTGGCCGACATCTGCCATAAACGCGTACACCTCGTATCCTTGCTCAATGAGCCAGGCGAGGATGCATGAGGTGTCTGGTTGGCGATGAGAGCTGCATCACGGACAGTCCAGAGCTCGCGTACCCAGTCCACCAGAGTAAGCAAGGAGAACACGTCCAAGGGAAGCAGGCATCGTGGTTTGAGGAAAGAAGGCTAGCCGCTTTAGCCGATCGAGTCAAAATCGTAAAATTTCGGGACGCGCACGTGACCACGGCGTCATAAAGCCGACAAGTCCGACGTGGCCTTGTCGGACGCCGAACTACTTGTTTCTTGGCTTCGAGCGTGTTCGAAGTTCTTTACCCACTGCGCGAGTCTCCTCCTACTCAACACTCTCAGCGCCCTGATGCTTACTTCGTCCCCAGCACTTTTGCTGCCCTGACCCTGCGGGAAAATCTTGGCACTCAACAAATCTCGTCGGCCTCAGGCTGTCTCGCGATCTTCCCTCAGCGCCGACAACTTGGCACCTCACGCCCACCTTGTTTCGAGCTTGGCGCGCTTGACACCCCGACACCCGGAAGGCACTACGCTTCTCGCCTCTCACTCTCGTTTGATGATGCTCGAAGTTCCTCGGTCCGCGACAGGCATCTCTTGCATCTCTATGCTTCCGGCGCTGGCCAAGTATCCCGCAGTGCTCCCTCGAAATTTCTTGTACTACCGTTGCATCCCACTTGATAATATATATTTCGTCTTGAAGCTTGACCGTCTGTTTCCCATTCAGATGTGGCACGTGGAGTTTCGAACTGTTGAGAATCTTACTACGCATCGGCTTAAACTATCATGTTAAGACTGATTCCGAGTAATTCGAAACCTTCGACTCGCAACAAGGACAAGAAGTACAAGTCAACTGGCATGGCAATCTCCAGGGCTCGCGTGCTCGCGAGCCGAATGCTTTTCTAAGGGTCTCAAGCGCAATACCTTCCCAGTGTGCAGATCATCGCGACGAGAGTCTTATCCTGGCGCGCACAACCCGAGGCGCGCGAGCCTACCAGGTGGACACAAGATGATAGAAACATGGTCATTCTCGGGGCTGTCGGCGCCGCCGCTTGATGAAAATTCGCACAGGCACCTTATCCGAATGGGCAGGTGCCAGCATCCTTGCATTGGAGTCGTGAATACTATGCCGAGGTATATCTACGAGGGTTACTTTTCAAGCTGAGGGCGAGTCGGAAAGGTACTTGTCGACGATATCGTGGACCTTCGGGTCCACTTTGCCCAATATTTCCACCATCTCGTCCTGGTAAAAGAATCAGCCAATCAAACGCGCCAGTTCACAAGCGTTGCCACTGACCCAGAGCCGATCCTGCGCTTTCGCGCCCAACGGACTCAACACAAAGTCGCTGACCTCTTCGACCTTCGACGCCGTGATGTATTGGCCGCGAAGCTTGTCGGGATCGTCTTGGTGCGCAACCGCGGCCCAAACGAGCTGCCGGCTGCCCTGCTCCGTCGTAAACGCCAGACACCATTGCATCAGGTTGTCGAGCATCAGACGGATGCCCGAGAAGGTGCGCCGCAGCTCCGAGTAGCAGTAGCCTGGATTTACAGTGTTGACGACGAGTGGCGTCGCAGGGGGGAGGCGCGCATTCAAGGCACGGACGAAGAAAACGTTGAGGACTGGCACAGGATTTATGAAACATTATACGAAGGGAAAGGACGCAACGTACGTTTTGTGAGAAGGTACCTGTCCTCAAGGACCCTACACGTACCGGGTCAGCTACCGCGCATGGAGGAAGCACGAATAGATACTTTGGTGTACTGTGACAATATTCTTTGCTTCCGAGAACTTTGAACAAATTCGGCCCCTCGATCAGGCTCTTGTCGATGGTCACCCAGTAGTGCACCTCGCTCGAAACGACGACAAGTCGCGGGATCGTGGCGTGGTCTTTGGCGGTCTTGACCATTATTGGAAGAAGCAGGAGAGCCATCAGAGGGGTTGAGAGGTCGTTGACTTGCAGACTGCATACCGCATCAATGCACGTATCCGGGCGCAACACATTCCAGCGAACCTGGTCTCCCATCCATCCTTGGTAGGCACGTAATCCCATGCGGCGACCCCTGCGTTCTCGACAAGTATATCCAGCCGCCCTCCGTCCTGCTCAAATCTCTGCGCAAAATGCTTCACGGACGCAAAATCTGCAAGGTCCACGATCCAAAGCTCTGCCTTTGTGTAGCCTGTTTCGGCCTTCAATTCTGATGCCGACATGAGCACTATCGTCTTCAGGGCAATACGCGTAACAACACACTTCCTAGAGCCGCCTCGCCCTTGGTTTGGTTCCTGCATGCAAGGATGAGCCGCCCCGGGTTCATTCTCGCGAGGTGCTTTGTCGCCTCGAATCCGATCCCAGTGTTCGCGCCCAGCACAACGACCGTCTTTCCGGCGAGATCAGTGGTGAGCACGGGCTTCGGTGTCGTCCATTGGTTGCAGACAAAGCTCCAGAATGAGATTTGCATCTTGGGCGAGCACTGGACGGATAGAGAGAGCGTCAATGATTTGCCGCCCGATGCCGCACTGGTGGCTTTAACAGTGTGTTACGGCCGCTGTCGAAGGCTTGTCATGTTGGTTTCCTAAGATTCATAAGACTTCACTGTTCTCCCGGCCGGGACCCCGGTGCGCACCGCCCTCAGAGCAATGCAAAGGCCAAGTTGAGCTGCCAGTGCTCAAAGAAAGTCTATTTCAGGTTTGCTCAGTCATCGATGACTGGCTGTCCGCTTCGTTTTGATTGAGGGAAGAAATGACAGTTCCTGCACATTGACGGCCTGCTTCAAGTTGCCCGGACGTCTATCTGAGCGACGATGGTGGACATGGCTGAATGATCATGGAGTCAAAAGTTAAAACGAATCTGAAGGGAACGTGAAGTCACATACACGTGATGTATGTGACAGACGTGACCTGCCTCCCTCCTCCACGCGATCATGTCTACCCAGCCAATACGCGACTACCTTACAAAACAGCTCATGATCGACAGGAACATTGTCAGCCCCTTGGAAAATCTTCTCTTTTCCATCTCGTTAACCCATATCTAGGTCACATTTCGCTCG